ATGATTTAGATGATGAATGGACAGTTCTTAACTATATAGTGCTAATATTGTCTAGTTAGTATCTATTTAATCATCAATGAACTAAGAATTCACCAAGGTATAAACACAATGACAAAGGAATTCAAAGAAGCCTTTTATTTTCATTGCACATCTTTTGTTTATTAGGTATTGTCTATGCCTCATTGAATTCTCAGTGCATAACATAGTTGACAATAAATTATGTTAGGCACCAAATAGTSMAGAATTGCTTCACACTTTTGTGGCSTGCACTCTATTYTAAGCTATAGTGAAACATATTGAAAACAYCTAGGATCATARCCCATTGACTATAGCAATTACACCTGCTGACACACAAATTACATRAATGTAGCTATAGCTCASTCAAAAATCATCTAATGTTGTATTGTATTGYTGTTYCTTTTTGCAAATAGWGCAAAATATCACTCTTACAACGACTTCCAGTACTGTGCAAGAAAACAGATTGATTTCAGTCATACACAACCCACTCAAAACAACATCTACTTATATYAGACATCAATCATTTTACGCTCATAAAAATGGAGATAGCTCATGACTCATCAAAGTAGGAGGACAATTTTTCAAAGGCATCTCAGTATTAAAGCTTGTTTATTGTGATTACCTGTAGCAAGGTGACACACACAGTATCTCTCGGCTAATTTAGGAGCCTAAACGACRAGAAATAAAGAACAGACATTACAATATCAAACCCATTACCGGTTAAAAACCAAGCAAGTTTTCAGCTCAAAGGTCAAATACATGCACTCTATAACTGAATCTCTATTATAAATTCTACATAAGAGCAAAGACTAACAACCTATAATATACAAAAGATAAGTATTTAATAAAGTAAAAAATACAGTATTTCCGGCAATCGGTATTGTTTATTGTTGTGTAGTTTMTACCTGTGTTCCTTTCCCCGACCCTGGAGGACCAAGCAAGATCGCTCGTACTCCTCGCTCRCATGAYTCYGCTTTTTTCACCATCTCATCCAGCTGAGCTTTAGCTTTGTCATCGCTACCRGGATCAGTTTTAAATACGGTACCTCGCTGGCTAATTGGAGGAGCCATTTTAATTGTGGATCAGGAAAGAAGAAGCCGGCAAGTCAAACCATACAAAACAGCTCCCAGGCCGATCGACGAAATCCACGTTGTGACATACCCACTACGCATGACAGAGTTTCTTTACCAAACATGGAAATATGAAATGGAATGGAGTGGAGTGCTGGATCGGTTTATCATTTGAATAACATAATTTTCTCATTATCAGACAATATCTTATTTAGGAGGATTGCATTATTTTTTTTGTTATTAATAGAGACAGTGAAAAAAGATCAAAACACATAAAAAAGCACAACGATACAGTACAAAATATTCTCAACGACATACTATATTTACCCCTGTCCGTTCCGTAGATTTTCGATTTTCGAAAATGCATAATATCTTTACAATAAGGACAATTTATCTCATTATCTCCAATATCTCCAAAAGTGGATGCCTTATTATGATATGTGCTCACGGGGGTCCTGTGGTAGGAATGTTTGAGCAGGTGCGAATGGTATTCCTGTGTTGAATGCAGGTGCGTGTGGGCTTCCTGTGATGGGTGTGGTCTAAAGCTACAGTAATATTGTCTAGTTTAAGTAGAGATTAATTGTACATATTTCAAGTTGTTGACTTCCATAACTCATTATTTATATTTGGTTAGGTTTAGCGCCTTGACGGACTAAAACGTCTTCCTACCGCGAGTTCAAACATAAAGTGAAATGGAGTAAGGTCATTTTAATGTATGTTGTCATGGCGACGGGGTGGTAGTAAATTTATTTTACTGACTGGTGTCTCAAACCAAGTATAGTTCCAACATCTGTCTCCTGTGCGTAACAATACGACAAGTTTCGTCTGCTAGTTCGTTATGTATAGGGATTAGAAGTGTTTACGCGTGCATTGCTAAGACGCGTACCATCGTTTTGAAGGATGGCACGTGAAATGACTTTGAGCGCAACGGCCACAGCATGACGAGAGTGGGAGATTTTAGAAAAAATCATCAAGTAGCTTGTACACCTGTACTGAACGCACAACAGAGACCTGACAACGGAAGTTGTGTAAAGACACCTTTCATTTTAGTTATTAAATGAAATATTGCTTTCTCTTGATAAGGAAAGAAATTCTCATTACTTTAAACGCTAATGAAATATCATAGTATTGTGATAAAATGAACAGAGCTTAGTAAAGAGAATTGATAATTTGATCAGTGACATTAACAGATTAAGTATGTTTAGCCTATCAGTGCGGTAATGTACACAATAGCGCTCGATTTGACAACAGCATCCGTTTTGATCAGCACATGGAATATCGACAAAATACTTCACTTAAATACTCCAGCAACCTAACTGTACAGATCAGTGCAGACCTTGATCCGGTCTACATAACGACGCGAATCYATTGGCAATCTTGAATATCTAGACATAAAGCAAGAAACATAAAGTCTATAGCGAGCATGAACGGTCAGGGAATTGCCAAGAGACATTCTTTCCCCCTTCGCACATATTCTTGGCATGGAATTAGAAGAAACCACATCGCAATTGAAAACGGTGACGACCCGCTAAACCCATACAAAGTCAGGAATGCCCCGGTTGTGACATCCGAAGGAACGCTTGAGGAGCGGGAAACAAGGCTTGAGGAAGCCCTGCTATGGATACGAAAAGAACTAGTGAGTTATTACACGAGAAATGAGCTTTAAATGAAAAGAAAATAATGGAAAAAAACGCGTCGTGTTCACGACTTTTCAATTACTAAGCGCGCGCCAAAAAGCGTATATCTTTATCAACAATTTGTCACTTGTAAATTCTACGATTATAAGCAATCTCTTCTCCGAAAAAGGAATATTTTGGACTATCTACGACTCTATTAATTTGCACTATGTATTTTTTCATTTCTGGGGATCTTTTTATAAACCAAAATACTTGATAGGTATCAAGAGAGAAAAATCCTCCCCAAACCGCTGGAGATTTCATTTTTTTAATATTCAGAAAGCGTTTCGTTATGTTAAACACATTTAGGGATCTTTTGAAACTTAAAAATTTGTTATTGTTATGAGGGCTAAGGTTTGGGTTATTGCATTGTTTTCAGTCAATGGGGAATTTGAATAAAATGACAGCTGCAKCTTTCAMTGACAGTATTGTCACTCTTTGAGTCTTCTGGTAACCATTTTTCRTCAAAAACACTCAATTTCAAAAAGCSTTTTCGCGGAATTAGACCTAATATTAACTAGAATAAGCGAATAAAGTCGTTTGCTTGGAGATTGTTCCGTGTAATGCCCTAAGCACTACAACAGACTAATCAAAAAGTGCGATTTCTATCGCAAATAATCCTCGTACTTACAGAATTGCAAAATCGCATCGTTGAACTTATCAGGAAAAATAATACCTCAAAATATAATGAATTTACAAATTTCACAAAATGAGTGCCCTTTCATTAGATTATCTTTTGAAAAGATCTAAAATAAGATCGCAAAATTTTGCATAATTTGTATTTTCCATCAAGCTGGCACTTCCGCATCATACCAAGATTAGTTGGATGCACACTGCTAGGAAAACAGCTATATATATACATGAGTGAGTGAGTCACAGTAGTTTCGTGATCTTTCTAACCAACATATGAACGCGACGTGTGATCAAGACGAAAACGGCTTCCATGTCATCAAACCACAATCTACAAGGTTGAAACACCTGACAAAGGCCAAGAAAAATAAACTATTTTACTCCAAAAAAACTAGCGTTTTTTAGTGCTCAAAAYAAAACAAGCCATTTAGCTCRGAAGAGAGGTTGTTTTCGAGTGGTGTTCGAGTGTAGTAACCAAAATATTGTATCCTTTTGGTATGATGAAGTCCATTTGACAAGCAACAATAAAAGCAGCTTTTTATGTTTGATCTCCTTGAGTGTATTGAATTACTAAGGGTAGACTTTATCTCCAATGACTGAATCCAAATATTTTGGATTAACATTATCGAGCTTGAATTCTGAAAGGCTTTTATGACAGGTTACAAGGTAAATATAGACGACAGTTGCCTCAAGAAGATTTAGTAGGATTTCGCTTTGTAAACGAACGATTACATAGGCTTCAGTTATGACAAGAAAGATGTTCAACCATTTCATTGATTGTCATTATGATTTCTAATTCCAAGTGACTTGGATAATAAGACTATATTGTTATTGCGCACATATCGAGTTATGATGACGCGAATAAACTAATTAGTAATTATGAATAGCTCCGTGATGCAATTCAGTTACAATTCTTAAAATTCCTGTACAAGCCGAAATAGCCTTGTTCCAAGGATAGAAAACATCTGGATAAGTCAATAAATTTACACATAGATTCGAGCCTAAGCCACGCTTGAACTGTGGAATTTTGGGAATAGACAGTACATCAAAACGAAATGAGACGCGCGCGTTATGACAGTCATCACAAGAGCGCGGGAACCTCGAGACCAATACTCATGATGGAAAAGACAGTATTGAAAGCCTTTGGTTAGCGAATATTGCCTTCGATAGTCAATATCCATAGTGCCTTTCGGTCGTATATCCCTCAATCTGTCCGTCAAAATATTCCCATCAAGCCATACATTCATCAAAGCATCTGTACCTAACCTAATCAGAATAAAAGCTAAGAAACGCTAAGAGAACGATGAAAACAAGTTAGTCAGCAAAACGTTTCCTTGTAGTTAGCTTAGCTTTCGTAAGGAGCAAGGGAGGTCACTGAGGGTGGTCGCGGTCAGTGTTTGTAACGTCCTCGCTGCCTCTTTCACCTCCTTTCAATATAGACTAAGGTCTAACGTCCTTATCCGTAAAGACTCAAGAACATAGTTAACAATGCTAACCAAACGAATTAACTTTGACAAGGTACGATCAACACTGAACAAGGAAATAACTTGGTACTCTTATTAAGCTACAGGCAGACAGACGGACGGGAGAACGAAAAGCAACCCCTTTCTTCAATATACTCAGTACATCATATTTGTTTTTCTATTTTCAGACGGATATGCGGCACCAAGACAAATAYCTCACACGTGAATTCATCCAACTACGCGCAACAATACAACGAATCAGAACAGAACATGAAACGATGCTTGAAGAATTCGAGAACGGTGAATCGAACGGTGATGTGCTCAAAGATTTGAGTGATATACCGCAAAGAATAGTACCTCGAGCTAAAGATGGCCGTCCATTAGTACGGAAGAGTTATTCCATGGTTATATGATATAGGATTCTTRATTAATGTTATCTTTTAGGTATTATTTTGTTGAAAAAATCTCATAAATCGCAAGGGTGCTCTCTTGGATAACATAAAATTTTCTTGTTCATTWTCAACAAAAATCGTTCAAATATTGCTCGGAAAACCACTTCAAAATTTCACAAGAGCACTGTCACGGGGYTACATGTAAAATAATGCCGTCGTGTCGYGGCAATCTCGTATCATAACCCGCCTAAAATTTTGATCTGAGCGGGCTTTGGATACGASATGGAGACGTGATCTATTTTGTCGATGAGTCARATGCTTACGTTTTGGCCAAGMGTTCTTTTTAGCWCAGCAATGGGCCTAMATTTGGTTTTCAATGTTTACATAAGACGACCGCGTCCCTTAAATTAACACTCCATGATATAGATGTCTACCAAACTTAATAATTCAAAAACCGCAGTATTATTGTCGGCATCAAACGCCTGCGTGTCGACATCAAATATGTATGATACTGAAAAATAACAGAATCTATACTTCACYAATTTAAATTTGCACTATAATCCCTAGTCCCTTTTATAGTACGCAYCATGAAAGGCACAGGTAGCCCACTCAATAACCACCTCAACAAAGGGAAYATCGCTATAATAATTTTATATATAGATCTGTACAGTAAAGTGATTTAGCCAAGAGTACAATAAAGCTGTAAACTTTGATTATTGGTGTGTATATTTAATTTCACGATGATAAAGATTTCAATAGAATGAAAGGGYTTTTTTAAAGAAATATTTTACAATTCTGATCAAAAAATAAAAATTTCTAACTATATCATATAATATGGTGCTTACTTTAAAATAAATTCTAGGTATAACTGTAACAATATATATCTTTTTCTTTGTTTTATAATATCTTTATCTAAATACTTTGAAAATACATTGAAAATCTTCTAGTACGTTCAATGTACGTTCCGTTTAATCTGAATTTTGAAAAAAAATTTAATTGTTTTAATTTCTCTTTTTAACTTCCATTTGAAAGCAGAAAATCAGCAGTTCGATTTAGGAAACCAATTCGATATACARCATCAACAATATTTGATCAACATTTATGACCAGTGCCAGTTAAACGTAGAAAATCAATTCAAAATCAAACCAGTTTGATGTTGGAATCCACTTCTTTGTCAGAATCCAGCTAAACGTAGAAAACTCCTAGGGAATCATTTCTATGGCGGAAACCAAGTCAAACCTGTTTTTTTTCACTTGTTTGTTTTAAAGAAGCCAGTTATGTTCCTCGATCCAGTGGTATCCACGGCCCGTTTTTTGTTTTTCAGTCGAATCAGAAGGTCTTTGGTGACCTTTTTATGACAAGGTACACACAGAGTTCGTAGATTTTCGATTCCACACTCGCCACCTCCTTCTGCCACGGCTACAATGTGATCTGCTTCCCAAAACTACGAGAAAAACAATGGATTANATAGAACTTCACCGAATAGACTACCCCAATTAGATATTAGATATCTATAAGTGTCTTCATAGTACGATGGTCTAAGAGGGTAGCTAAAGGTATGCTCTAGTGGGCGGCTACCCCCTCACTCCCTGGCCTTTTGGTTAAGACTAAGTTTTATGTTCACTCGGGATAGCGTGGAAGAGCCGAAATCTCTAACCGTAACGTAAGCCGATTCGACGCCTCAGCTTCATAGAATGTCTCGGGGGAATCGTCCCATCTTTTTAGTTTTTTATTTTCATTATTTCTTATGTATTCCGGGGGGGCTACATCTTCTACTAAAGTTAAAGTCCTGAGTTCGAGTCCTGCTGCTGGAATTTCTATTTTTTACTTGCTTCTTTTTGGTTTGTTTCTTGTTTTCTTTTCTTGTTTCCTTTTTCTTTTCTTCTTTTTCTTTTTGTTGCTACTTTGCTTTTCTCTATAGATTTTTTTCTTTTCAAAAGAAATGTTAAGTTTGCAACTTAAAATCAAAGACTAGCAAGGAACGCCTGCTACAAGTGGATGATTATGGCCTTTCTTAATCTTTTTTTGTACAGTTTGAAAACTACCGCTCATATAGCCACTTCGATTTATTTAATTTCTCGTCAACTTTAGTCATTTACAGAGAATGATTCATAAAAAAGGTTACAATGTTAGAGCACTTCAGTGCGCTCTGTTGCAATAACTTTCACATAGTTTAAACTGGRCTYCCTGTKCTGGGTATAATGAAATGCRCGGTCTCTGACAGGCTTGATAGGCCGGGACATACTTCCTCTTATGTCGATATTTTAGGCAAATCATAAATATAGACTTCTAAAATGAATGACSGTAAATATAGATAGCACTATGACGCAAAGTGTCCATCCGGTTAGTAAATCAAACATCCTGATCAAGCCGGCAAGGACGTCAAGAATGACATATATTTTGATCATGCATATTGTTATACTGAATATACT